CCTTGGAAGCTATGAGCTTCCTAGCAGCCAAGGCAAAGAAAGCAGTTCTCTTTGGCACTGATGCAATAACCGATAGAGTATTCATGAGAAAATGCACACTGGGCTTTGATCTTTCCATCTGTAAAAAGGGTGAAGCTAGAGGTTGAGTAAAAGAGATAACCACTGGCTGAAGCAGTCAGCAGAGGTTTCCTGGAGGAGAATCCTAAACTAGGCCTTGAAAAAGAGCATGGGCAGGTTCTATCTAATAATCATTTGTTATTTGCTTCCCACAGTTGAAGGCATCTCCTTCCTGCCAGCAGGACTTCAAGCTTCCTTTGGGAATCATCTTCCCCTCATTTCTGGCCAAACAGTTGGGGAAGGTGGGACCCTGACCCACGGATTATCCAAGCACTGTGCACTCAGTTAAAGGATCAAAGTGATCCAGATCTTGACATTAGGGTACAAGAGATCAACTCCAAGACTTTTATTTGTTCTATCATGGAAAAAAAAGAAAAGAAATCAAGAAGGTTCTGGAAATAAGAGAAAATGAACACAGAACAACCCCCAAAGTATGGGACACAGTGAAGGCTGTCCTAAAAAGGAAGTTCATAGTGATACAGGCCTACCTAAAGAAGATAGAAACTTTTCAAATAAATGACATGACCCTATGTCTACAAGAATTAGAGGAACAACAACAAAGTCCAGGGAGAGTAGAAGGAAGGAAATACGCAAGATCAGAGCAAAATTAGATGACATGGAGACTAAAAGAACAATCCAAAGCATCAATAAATCCAGGAGCTTGTTCTTTGAGAAGATAAACAAAATCAAGAAGCCTTTAACCAGACTCATCAAGAAAAAAAGAGAGGACCTAAATAAAATCAGAAACAGAAGAGGAGAAATTAGAGCTGATATCACAGAAATAAAAAAGATTGTAAGAAATTACTATGAACAACTATATGCCAAGAAATTTGAAAACCTAGGTGCAATGGATAAACCGCTGGAAACATTTATCTTCCAAAACTCAGTCAAGAAGAAGCAGAAAGCCTGAATAGACTGATATCAGCTAGTGAAGTTGAAGCAGTAATAAAGAAAACTCCTGGCACAGAAAAGCACTGAGCTGGACAGATTCACAGGAGAATTTTTCCAAACATTTAGAGACAAGCTAACCCCAATTCTTCTCAAACTATTTCAAAAAAATCCAAGAAAAGGGAAGGCTTCCAAACTTTATGAGGCCAGTATTATCCTAATTCCAAAACCAGATAAAAGCACAACAAAGAAAGAAAACCACCAGCCAATATTGCTGATGAACATAGATTGTACAATCCTCAAGAAAACATTGGCAGACCTCATCCAGCAATGCATTAAAAAGATCATCCACCATGATCAAGTGGGATTCATCCCAGGGTTGTAAGCATGGTACAATATTCACAAATCAATAAATGTAATACACCACATAAACAATACTAAAGGCAAAAACAACATGATCATATCAATAGATGCTGAAAAAACATTTGACAAAGTACAGCATCCATTTGTGATAAAAACACACAGCAAAGTGGGAGTAAAGGGACATAACTCAATATAATAAAGGACAATAAGAGAAATCTATAGCCAACATCATATTCAATGAGCAAAAACTAAAAGCTTTTCCCCTAAGACCAGGATCAAGACAAGGGTGTCTGCTTTCACCACTTCTTCTTTTATTAAAAAAAAATTATTTATTTAATTTCAGAGAGGGGAGGGAAGGGAGAAAGAGAGAAACATTAATGTGTGGTTGCCCCTCAAATGCCCCCTAATGGGGACCTGGTCCACAACCTAGGCATGTGCCCTAATATTCGAACCGGTGACCCTTTGGTTCACAGGCCAGTGCTCAGTCCATGCTTTCACCACTTCTATTCAACATAGTATTGGAAGTTCTAGCCACAGTGATCAGACAAGAAAAAGAAATAAAAGGCATCCTAATTGGAAAGGAGGTAGTAAAGCTGTCACTGTTTGCAGATGACATGATAGTGTACCTAGAAATGCTATAGACTCTAACAAAAAACTATTTGATCTAATAAGTGAATTTGGCAAAATAGTGGGATAAAAAGTCAATATTCAGATATCAAAAGCATTTTTTATACCAATGGTGAAATATCAGACACCAAAATTAGGAAAAAAAAATCCCATTTACTATAGCAACAAGAAAAATAAAATGTTTAGGAATAAACTTAAAGGAGTAAAAGACCTGTACTCAGAAAACTACAGAACACTGAAGAAAGATATTAAAGAAGACACAAGTAAATGGAAACATATACTGTGTTCATGGATTGGAAGAATTAACATCATTAAAATGTCCATATTACTCAAAGCAACCTGTAGATTTAACACAATCTCTATCAAAACACCAGTAACATATTTCACAGATATAGGACAAACATCTCAAAAATTTATATGGAACCATAAATGACCCCAAATAACTTCAGCAATTCTGAGAAAGAAGAACAAAGTAGGAGGGATCACAATACCTGATATCAAACTATATTATAAGTAGAGTGTAATCAAAACAGTCTGGTACTGGCATAAGAACAGTCACATAAACCAGTAGAACAGAATAAAAAGCCCAGAAATAAACCTATGTCAATACAGTCAGTTAATATTTGATAAATGGGGCAGGAACATAAAATGGAGCAAAAATCGCCCCTTCAATAAATGGTGCTGGGAGATCTAGACAAATGCATGCAAAAAAATGAAACTAGGCCACCAACTCACATCATACACCACAATAAACTCAAGATGGATAAAAGACTTAAATATAACTCATGACACCATAAAAGTCCTAGAGGAAAACACAGGCAAGAAAATTTCAAATATCCCATACAGCAATTTTTTTTACAGATACATTCCCTAGGACAAGGGATATAAAGGAAAAAAATTAACAAATGGGATAACATCGAACTGAAAAGCTTCTGCACTGAAGAAAGCATCAGCAAAATGGAAAGAGAATCAACTGTATGGGAAAATATATGTGCCAATGATACCTTAGACAAGGGTTTGATCTCCAAAATATGTAGAGAACTCACAGTACTCCACACCAAGAAGACAAGCAATCCAATTAAAAAATGGGCAAAGGACCTGAACAGACACTTCTCCACGGAGGACATACAATGGGCCCACAGACACATAGAAAAGGCTCAACATCAGTAGCCATCAGAGAGATGCAAATTAAAACCACAACAAGATGCCACTTCACAGTGGTCACAATGACCATCATTAATAAATCAACAAATGACAAGAGCTGGCGGGGTTGTGGAGAAAGGGAACCTTAGTACACTGTTGGTAGGAATGCAGACTGTTACAGCCATTGTTCCATATTGTTTCATACTGTGAAAAACAGTATGACATTTTCTCAGGAAAAAAAACAAACAAACTCCTCCCTCCCCCAAAGATGGAAGTACCTTTAGATCCAGCGATCCCACTGCTGGACTAATCCTGAATCACCAATTCAAAAGAACCTATGCATCCCAATGTTCACCGCAGCAAAATTTACAATAGCCAACTGCTGGAAACAGACTAAGTGCTCATCAGCTAATGAGTGGATCAAAAAACTGTGGTACATTTACACAAGGGAATACTACAAAGCAGAAAGAATGAAGGAACTCCTACTTTTTGCCAGAGCATGGATGGAACTGGAGAGCATTATGCTAAGTGAAATAAGAGAGGGGGTGAAAGACAAATACTGTATGATCTCACCAATAAGTGGAACCTAATCAACAAAACAAACAAGCAAGAAAAATATAACTAGCAATATTGAAAGAAAAAAACCAACAGTAATGAGAGGGAAGGAGGGAGGGGCACAATGGGGAAAAGAAGGGAAAGGGTCAAATCAAGAAACATGTATGAAGGACCCATGGACAAAGCCAAACTGGGAAAAGATTGAGAGTGAGATGTGAGGGTGGGTGGGGCAAGGGAAAGTGGTGGCAAGAAAATGGAGACAAATGTATTTGAACAATAAAAAAAAAAAAAAAACCCACCACAACAAAATTTGACCCTTATCTCATACCACACATAGATATTAATCCTCCAGAAAGACTGTAATTTTTACAATTATATGTAAAAGAAAAATAAGCTTCTATAATATACTCTTGGAAAATATTTTGTGATCCTCAGGTAGGTAAAGCTCTCTTAAAAAGGATATAAGATACCCTAAATGTACAGGAAAAAGTTGGTAAGTTGTTCTTTTTTGAAATTAAGAATTTAGCTCAACAAAGAACACCATATGATTAAAAGAGTAAATACAAGGCCAAGGATTAAACATACAAAATAAATATACATATCTGCACTAAAACCCATTGTCATGATAATTGTAGCAGCATATTTGTAATTATCAAGAATTGGAAACAACTCAAATCTATCATCAGTTGAATTGATCAGTACATGGTTGAGTGATCATTTAATGGAATACTCTACAGCAATAAAAATGAACAAAGTGCTACTTAAGCAATGCTATGAATGAATTCCAAATATAATGTGGAGTCAAAGCAGTTAGATGCATGAAAACATTTCATGATCTTCAGATGCACGAAAAACATTTCATGATTTTATATGAAGTTCAAACTATGACAAAAATATTCCATGGTAGTAGAAGTTAGAAAAGGGGTCTTGTTTGGAGAGGAGGGAGGGCAGAGTGATTGGCAGGAAGGGAAGGTGCCTTCCTGGGCACTTTTAATCTTCTCTCTATAAATCTGGGGTAGGGTACCTAACTGAGGTATATATTCTATATATATTCTCTCTATATATTCTCTCTCTATATATAATTATATGTTCTCTATAATTATACTTAAAAAATGTTTATTAAAAATACTATTCCTCCTAACACTTCTTACCTGGACCAATAACATGAATGAACAATTAGAGAAACCATATTCCTTATTTCTCTGAAATACCTTACTTTTGAAGGCTGCTTTTCCACACTTTCTGGTCATAGGGAATCTCACTCAAGAAACACCCTCAGTACCAGGCAGCCCTTCCCTTTCTCTTACCCGAGCAGATCACAGAGGCCGCGTTCCCGTGGGTACAGCCAGGAATGCCCAGGGCAGTCATCGGGCACTTCCACAGGAAGGACTCAGCCCCTGAGCAGTGAAACTGGGCTTTCCAGATCTGGTCACCTCCTTCCACAAGGTGGGCTCCTCCTGGGGTAGAGAGGGCGACTCCGCAGCCGAGCTGACGACAGACAACGTTGGCATTGGCCATGTTCCAGTGGGAGGCACAGAGCACTCTCCATCCTCCAGAAATATTCACCTCCACTTGGCCCTCACACTGAGAGGTGCCATTTTTCATGAGCCGCACTTCCGTGTATGCTGGGAGGAGAGAACAGGATTTTATCAAAACCTCATGTCTTTCTTTCCCCAAGAGAGTATGCAGGGAGGTTAAAGTCCTGCTCTGCATCTCACCTGAACAGACAACTTGAACAGCCCCTCTGTGCTGGCAAGCACCTCCTGGACAGGGCGGCCTGGGGCAGACACTGAGCTCAGGCTCCTGCCCCTCACACCGGAACTCTTCAGCCCACACCTGTTCATCTGACCCTCTGGAGGGCACATCCACCAGGACAGACACAGCTTTGCCACAGCCCAGCTCCGCACAGATGACCTGGGCAGTGGGCCACGTGAAGTTCCCATCAGACACTTGAATCCAGTGTGTTCCAGAACGCACTTCTACTCGCCCTGAGCAGGGTCCACCCCCTCCAGCCAGATGCACAAATCCTGAGAGAGAACAAACAGACCCAGTGAAGTGTTTATGATCCTGGCTTGGCAATAGGAACATGTCATAGGCAGCAATGTGAAAGTTTTACTTTTCTGAGAGAGCATGTTCTCAGGGGAGATATGTAATACAGCTAAGTGTGTCATCATTTCATATTGAGTTTTTCCTCCCAGACGTGGGAACCTTAGCAAATTCTAAGGAGTGAGAGTAATTGCGGTTATTTTAATCCTATCTATATGCTAACTGTATTTTCCTCTCCTATTTGGATTCTTCAGATAAGAGGCCGGTTTACCTTAAAAAGGGAGAGAGAGTGGAAGGAAGCAGAGAGCAAACAAGCTATAATTTGAAGCTTCCAAATTGCAAAACCTTTAGTATAGATGAAAGATATAAATATTTGGGATAAATATCTGTGGAAAAAGTTGTTATCACAATTTATCACTACGTGCTCCTCCCATCTACCACCTAACCATAAGACACTGAGAAAAATAATAAATTATATACATGTATATATAAAATAAATTATAAACATGTATATATAAAACAATATATACATGTATATAAATTATTGTTTCAGTGCCTTATGGTGTGTGTGTGTGTGTGTGTATGTGTGTGTGTTTGTGTGTGTGTGTATCCTTTGAAAAAGAGTTGATTGTAAAAAAGACTCATTCTGGTGCTCCCTTTACTTTGATTAAAAAGAAGAGAGGCACACAGGTCCACACCAAGCAAAATATGGACTCTTTCAGGGCTAAGATGAAAGATCAACAAGCTTTAATAGCTGTACATAATACTGGGGATCCTCAAGCACTGTGTTCTTATTTTAAGCCAGAGAAGACAGAATCTGAGGAGGTTTTATTATAAGAGGGACTTCTTCAAGGTTACTAAGTTAGGGAATACTGTTGGGTCTAGACTTAGTCTCTCCCGTGCCTGTTTTATAATCTCAATGCCAGCACCACGTCCCAGGTTATTAAAACATCTCATCTCCCCTCAAGTCCACTGTTAAATATATACCATGGCCCACTCTTCTGGGTGATTCACCTCTAGTCTTCCATTTTTCCAAATTTAGCTCATTTGCAAGAGGAACTTTAACATGAGTTATAGGAGGGATCTCAGGGGCCAGGTGTTTAGGAAACTACTCTTTCTGCGCCTGTGCCTAAGCCTGGGAGATCCCCAAATTTCTTATCTCAACTTGTGCTTGGGTGTCTTTGACCATGGGAAATACTCCCTCTCATTGTTATAGCTTTATCTTGTCTTGATTTTTATCTAGAGAAGGAAGAGAGCAAGGATGGCCAGATTGGGTATCATTATCTTTCATTGAGGTCCCGTTTTTATTACTTCACCTCTGACCAACCCTGTCTTCTCTATCCTGCATTTAGGTGTGACTCCTCTGTCTCCAAACCAATAACTCTCAAGGTTTTGATGGTCAGCCTCACCTATGTCTTTACCCTTCTGGCTCTTCTCCATCAGTCCACGATCCTACCATTCTGATTAAAACAGAGCACCTTGTTGTCTGAGGTGTGGGAAATGCCTCCATTGGTTGTGGTATTTAGCCACTCAGAGATCCACAAAGATCCAAGTGTCTTCCTTAAGACCAAACTTGCCCTGTGCCCGTGGGCTGTGCATTCCCCTACAAAGCCAGAGGTGGTCAGCAGGAACTTTCCATTAGGGCACAGAAAAGTGCAAGGAGAGTGGGACACTGGAGGCCCAGGAATAGGCAAAAATGGAGTCTCTGATGGGGAAATGATGAAAAGGGAGAGAAAAGGGAGGCTTTAAATTGTCTCTAAACTCTCTGTACAATCTGATATTTAGATAAGAAAAAGGTATTTCAAAACAATATTGAGAGTCAATTTCATGTTGTTTTATGCAAAATACAAACATCTTTATATAGTTTGCCATGTTTCAGGAACTCTGATAGTTAAATCAGAGTAAAAGAATGTTCTTATCTTGCGGGGCTTTATTTCTAGTGGAGGATAAACATGAGTACACAGGCTTAAGACCTCTGCTAACTGTATGAGAGCCCTGGATAGCGTGAAGAAAAGTAAACTGCCTCTTTAGAGAAATATTTATATTAAATGACCTCACCAAAAGCTAAATGAAAACTATGGTCAGATATATCCTTGTCTGGTGTCCTGCTATATAGATATCCTGTGCCTTTAGGAAAGTTATATTTCATCACTGGGATCCTGTTTCTACCACTCTGACCTTTTCCCAATCTCACCTTGAGTCAATCTTACAACTCATTCTTCTCAATCCCTACAACCAGACATACAGAATTCATATAAATGCACACACAGCCTTCTCTACACCACACCTGGACTCTGTGCTGCTCAGGAAACCCCATATGTGCCCCTTGGAAGATCCCAGTGTCATTCTCACCACCCACAGCTACTGGAAACCTTTTCTACCTTCTTCAAAAATTGTTTGTACCCTTATTGCCATTCTTATCAAATAAACTCCAAATGCGCTGATCTGTCAGGTATAAACCATATAATTCTTACATAAAATAACACAAATTAATACTTTGTTACCTTCACCATTGCTTTGCCAGTGCAAGTGTCCCTCAAAAGTTTGTGTTTATACAGACATTTTGAAGAAAAAAATGAAGAGCCTTTTCACATAAAAACTAATTGAGAACCTTTGATTCAAAGCATTTCATGCAAAGACCTCTGGTTCTACCGGCCAAAGACTACAAACACTTAGGCTTGAATTTACAGAGGAGAATTGCCATTTGGCACAAATACCTAAATTCCTCTATGATTTGTTTAATGATATCCCCTGTGCCTTGATTCCTACTAATCTAGTGCAAAACAGTGTCTCACATTATATTCACAGAAACCATCCAATCAAGGAGAGAACATCCTCATTCTTGACCCTCTATTTGATAGGTTAGCTCACTATACAATGGGAATGTGTGTAGTGATTTGCAAAATCATTTACAAAATCATTCTTACAGAAGTTAAACTTTAAAAAATCATGAGGATTGATTTTAATTGAGATGTCACTAAGATGAACTTTTGTCACCGAAGAAGGAAAGAATAGCAATTGAGACAAGAAGAAGAAACTAAAAGAATCCTGTCATTCACAGCTGTTTTGTGCACTTGGGGATTATGGATAGAGGTCTCAGATTCTCTAGCCCATCTGTCCTCTTTTGCCCCGGGGATCAGACAGCAGCTTCCTTGGAACTTGCCATTCACTCTCCTGGTGGACAATGCACTGACCATACCTGAAGAAATGACTCCTGCATTCTCCCCAGGGTTGCAGTAAAATGGCCCCCAGCCCCGGGAAGGGCACTTCCCCTCATGGGACTCCTTTTCTGTGCACTTCACCCTGTCCAGCCAGATCCGTCCTAATCCTGCCCCAATGTAAGTGGCCAAGCTGTGTGCACAGGCCCTGTGAAAGGAACCTTCCTTTTCCTCCGGTCCATTCTGCAACGTGCCCCGCACCGCCCCCAATGCCAGGGCTCGGATTCCCGTCCTCGAGGGTCCCAATTCCTCTCCAGCCAAAGGACAATGTGCAACACTGACCTGAGCAGATGACCCCTGCGTCCTCCTTGTGCCGGCAGTCGTGCTGTCCCCAGACCCGGGAAGGGCACTGCCACAGGTGGGACTCCTTTCCTGTGCAGTTCACGTCATCCAGCCAGATCCGGCCTGATCCTTCCCCGAAGTGAGCAGAGTCCGTGGCATGGAGGGCTTCTCCACAGCCCAGCTGTCTGCACACGACCTGGGCGCCGTTCAGGTCCCAGCCGTCATCACAGACGGTGCCCCAGGAGCCCTGGTGAAGGATCTCCACTCTGCCAGCACAGCGACTATCCCCGTCCGCCAGGCGGAGCTCTCCACGGCCTGAGGAGAGAGAAGCCAATGGGGTATTTATATGGGGAAAGAGAGAAGGGTTTTCTGCTCCTGTGGGACAAATTCACCTGAGCAGCTGGGCTGCACTGGGATGGCATCTGTGTCTGGTTTCCCAGACACAGAGTAATCAGAGTAATAGGGTTGAAAAATTGGGGGTGGGGTGGGGGGAAACCTTGAACAAATTAATCAGAAAATAATGTGGTGAGCATCTCAGATAGAGAAGTGTTACATGGGTCCTATCAGAGTTACCCTTCTGATTTGTAGAGTTCTTCATAGCACCTGTAAAAGATACACAGGAAATGTTAGAATCCCTACTCTGAGCAGGTAAATGAGTTCAGAGTCACTGTAATGGGCTGCCCGCTGGATAGTTCACTTATGGTTTTACACACTTGGTGCCATTAATCCGAGAACTAGAAGAAATAGATTAGAGAGAACGGAATGAGGAACTCGGGTGAGTTCATCAGAAGACTCAGGTAGCAGCCATCAATTCTATGCCAATCAGGATTGTTTCTCCTGGTATATAGTATTCAGAGCTGAAAAAGGACCATGACACAGGCCACGGTGTATCCACTTAGGCTTCTAGGCTTCAGGCTCCATATTTGGATATTTAGTTTAAAAAAAATATATACTTCTCTTTGAGTAGATTGGGCAACCTTCCATGAGAGATAATGTCAGATGATACTGATTGACATTGGCCAGACATTTTACTGGGAATCATAGAATGTTACTTCTTTCCCTAAAAAAATCTAATCTTCAAGTCAGGAGTTGTTATTATTCAAAATATGGAGTTATTTGTTCTCTGGGGGAATATATCATGTGTTTCTAACTTAACCACAGAACAGAAGCAGGTTATGTTTCTGCTCTGGAAGTACTTGAAGAGACAATTTTGACAAATCCACAGTATTATTATCCTAATTTTTTTACACATAAAAAGGGATGTAAAAGAAATTAAATATTGTCTATCAATTTACTTCAAGTAAGTATGAGTAGAGATGAAAGCCTAGAACTTTTGTTTCCATTAAGAATCATACTGCTAGGTACAGCTAAAAAAGCTAGAAAATGTAAAAAAGAAAAGTAAAGTTATTAGATATGTGGATACCATATGGACTATATATGCTAAAACTATAAAGAGTGGAGATTATTTCAGTATTAGCCAAGGATCTACAGTGTTTTTTTCTTTATGGGAATTCTTCAAGCCAGTGCATGGGTTAGTAGCACCGAATCTGGGCTCAGGCACGGCAGAGGACTCCTGTTGGGACAGAGAAGCCAGCCTCACTTTGTGGGTTACCTGGTGCTGGAGTGACCACATTGGAGGCTTGCAGGCCACCCTCACACAACAGGTTTTCTCCTCAAATATTTGCCCAAGATAAAAGCTGTGAAGGGCAGGAGGCCAAACTACTACATCAAAAATTTTGGAACGCAGTGGATATACCCTCATTGTCTTGAGTGCTAAGCTACCAAAACATCCAGGCTCTCCACTGAAATCCCTGCGAGCCCATGCTCTAGAGACAGGGAAAAATCAGAGGTAGACTGAGTGTTGCCAAAAGTGTAACCCAGACTTGTTCCAGCTCAGTTCTAGGTTGTATTTAGGTATTAGGGTGATCAGCACTCCTCCCCACCTGTCTAGCAGAACAGAAGATGAATTTTCAGGTATTAGACAATATATCTGGAATATCTTATCTTTTTCACATACAATTTCAAGATTTCAATAAAAACTTACAAGACATGTAAAGAGAGGGAACCATGTGCCAAATTAACAAAGTGGAAAAAGAGGAGACAAAAACACATGATAAAGATGGTGAAGTTAGTAGATAAGGATTTTAACTATGATCTATATATACATGCCAACTGGAAATAAAATGTCTAGAACTAAGAATTAAATGAATAGATTAAAAGAGTTTTAGATAGAACGTAAGTGACTGAGAGGAGAGGAGAGAAGGAGGAAGAGGATAAGGAATAGAGACACACACACAGAGACAAGGAGAGCCACAAAAGTAATACTTGAAGAAATAATTGTTGAGAATTTTAAAAATGGATGAAAAATGTAACACACATATTCCAAAAGCTCAAAGAGCCCTAAGAAAGATATGACAGGCCCCATACCTAGGAGAGCTGCTGAAAATAAAAAAAAAAAAAAGGAGAAAAATCTGGAATAATAATAATGTATCTAATATAAAGAAGGCAAAAAAGGAGAGAAAAAGGAATATAAAGCAGATGGCTCAATGAAAAGTAAATGGTATAGACTAACCCAACAACATCAGTATTTGTATTTAATGTAAATGGTTAGATACTTCAAGCAACAGCCAATCTAGATAAAATAACAAAATTCAGGTAATAGCTATATGAAGGATACCTTATATCTGGGGGCAAAAAAAAATTGAAAGTAAAACGATGGGAAAATGTATTTATATACTATGTAAACACTATCCATAAGTCAAGTCGAGGAGCTGTATCAATTTTAGAAAAAGAAGACTTCAAAACAAGATATACTAATTGAGTTAAAGAGAGAATTTTCATGACTATAAAGGGATAAGCCCTTAATATAGATAAAAAGATAAAAATCAAGTATTATTAGGATTTAGCCAAGACCCAAGGAACTGGAAGTTTCAAGAAATGAAACAAGGGAGTGAAACAGAACTTGCTCCTGTTGGGAGGAGCAGAATTTCTCAAAGAAGAGAGACAAAGGCTTCTAACTGCAGGGGCTTGAAATAAAGAGGAATCAAGGGTTAAGAGGAGGGACAGAGAGGTGAGGAGCATTGCAAAAGCTGCCAGAGACCAAGGCCCACACCTACAGGAGCCGGCTCTCCAGGCACATGGCTAGATTATTCTCATTTTAGGAGTTTGCACACTGATATCTTGAGTCAGAGGCCCAATGGAGGCCAGATTTCACATAGGAGCTGTGGAAACTACAAGAGAGAAAATTTACCATAGGAAGTTGATAAACACAGAATTCTTTTTAATTAAAAGATCCTTTAGAGTGTCACAGAACAAGTTTGAATGCCCCAGTGGGGCAGGGCAAATCTGACAAACAGAGATACATGCTGAAGTCTCTAAGGCTCCATTCTTCTTCTGCCTCAAGGCTAATATTAATTCATCCATGAGCACCTACATTTGGCATCACTTTTCCCTTTTACAGAATGGGATTTGAGGATGATCAATCCAAGAGTTAAGGAGGGAAAACATTCCAGACAAGAAGACAAAATTCAGCCAAGAACTCAATGCTGGGAGAAAACTACAGTGAAGCAGAAAAACATTTGAGCTGTGGGTTTATGGGGAAGATAAAGAAAATCCAAATCAGGCTTCGATTGCAGGTGCAGGGCGATCTAGGGATGTAATTATAGTTCATATCGGAAGGGCTTTCCTTGTAGGCAGGAAAGTTTCCATCTCTGCCCTCATCACATACACATGCACTCGTATCATCACCACTGCTACCACTTCCACCATCAAGTCCCACGGTCTCGCTTAGAGACTGCGAGTTCTATGGGCTCCTATCTAAAATGTTGATTTCCCTGGGCAGACATATTTTTACTTTCATATTTAATGTTCACATACTCTTCAAACTTCCCCTTACCCATTTCTCTCTCTCTCACTCCCTTCAGCAAACACATGTACACCTATGTACACACACGATCTGTTAGCTGAAGGAGCAGAAATACCAAAATACTGGCTGAGAGAGACCTAATATAGAATTCAGGAAGAACAGAGTAGGGGCCCAGTCTAGGGTAGACCCTCAGCCATAATCCATTACAGAAGGTGACTTGAGCTTTTAAGTGTTGGAGAGGCATAAAACACCAATTCAGGTCAATTTGAGAAGCAGGTTTACATCTGTGCAGCAACTCACTTTTAACCTTGAAAAACAGAGTCCCCACGGGAGAAAAGTCAACATCAACTGTTATTAAAAATTACATTTGGTGAAAACCAAATGGACAATAGGGAGATGTTGCCTTTACAATTCCAGGGATCATCTCCCCCGACCTTTAGAGCGAACCCAGTATCACTGCTGATTTTCAGAAGTGAGGGTCTGCTTACCTTGAGCATTTGCTAGGAGGTTGAAGAGGAAAAAAGCAAGTCCTTGGAGGAAGTAGTGTTCATTCATTGTCGCTCTTACCCTCTTGTCTACAGGTAACAGTCTCAACTTCTTCAAACCATACAAGAAATCTTCCTGGTCCATAATGGGGCTCCCATAGCAGGAAGGGGGTTATATAGTCCCATCCCCTGCCATCGCCATCTCCCAGCAGCCAATAGAAACCCTGCTTAACATCTTCCCTGCCATCAGAGACTATATGAAAGGAAACTTTCTGAAATTCAAACACCAATTAGATGCTGAATCTTAATTATCTCCTTATATGAGATACAAGGCTTTCTAATGTCAGGTGTTACCTGCCCACCCTTCCCCTTCTCTCTAAGCTGATATAGTAAATCTGTACTTAAAAAAAGATATATGTGGCTTTCTCTTCTTCACCTCACAGGCCTGGCACAATGGTTGGTTCAACATAGATGGTGAGATCAGTTAGATGCATTGCAGTGGGACAGTTCTACGACTTCAAGGGCCAAATAAAAATTATTTTTGTTTAATTATGTCTAAATCTTTGATGTCATATTTATGTGTGCAAAGAAAGAAGAAGCATCTAATAGTAAGAGCAAAAAGTCAAGTGAATAGAAAATTAAGACTAGGAAGATAAATAATTCTCAGGGATTTTGGACATAGGTGGAGGTAGGCAAAGGAGGTGGGGAGTGGGGATGGAAAAGACTTTTCTTAGGGCGATGGGCGCGCAATGCAGTGTGGAGATGATGTTTTGTTGAGTTGTACTTTTGAAACCTGTATGATTTTGTGAACCACTGTCATCCCTATAAATTTATTTTAAGTAGTTATCAGGTAAATGAAAAAGAAACAGACACCAAGGGACGTGATTTTTGGCTTCACAGATTGAGCTTTCCTCTCATTTTATTTCTGGTTTGTAAGTAAAAGCCTCATAAAAATATAGAGCTTTGATGGCAATATATATAAAGTCTGTCTTTCTCTTTCTTCTCTCACATCACAGAGAATTTATTTTCCCCAAGACTACCATAATCAGAACATATACTTCCCTTAAGAATAATTATAGTTTTCTGGGACATGGTGGTACTGCAGATTACAAATTCATTACAAAATTAATCCCCAGTTTACAGTGT